TTCTGCCCTGGGGGGGGGAGGTCCGGGGTCACTGCAGCCTGACATGACCACAGAATGCAATGTCCTGCTCTATGGGTTTGTCTCTTTTTCCCTAAGCTGTTAGAACAGAGTCTCTCCCCGCTACACCAAGATCATTTGGGGCCAGCCACTGCCTGGGGGGGTCCCAGGCACTGGGGGTGCTGAGCAGCATCCCAGCCCCACCCCTCGATGCCAGGACACTCCCTTTCCCCTCCTGACAGTGTCTCTAAGGTCTCCCCAGGGTGCAGACCCACCCCACCATCAGAACACTCTGTCCCCCCTTCACCCCCATTTCTGTTCCCGGCTCTGGGTTCCCCCTCAAAAGACACAGCAGTGAAGATTCGCCTGCAGGACCAGTGGGCTCAGGGAAGACCAGTCCTCTGCGGGGTCGGCTCGGTAAACTCCCATCTGGCCACAATGGCTCTGAAGTCCGAACCTGTCCCACGAGCCCACCCGAGGGGAGGCCTCCGCTCACAGTGTCCTGACACTCAATTCCGGCTTATTCCAAGCAGCCCTTCAGAGGGACTATGTCCCACCTAACACAGCTCGTACTTGATTCATGAAACTCTTAAGTGCGGGAAATGTCAAATGTAAATCCTAGCAGGGAGGAGAGGAGAGGTGACACACAGGACCTGCGTAGACGACCAGTGGCTCTGGATCTTGGGCACTTGCACCTGCCGGAGGCCCACCCGCACCTGCCCACCGCCGGGCGCTCCACATTCCGACAGGACAAGGATGCTCAGCAGAACACATTAGAAACCTCAAATTGTGAACACGAATTTCTTTTTTTTAAAGATTTTATTTATTTGACAGAGAGAGCAAGAGAGCACAAGCAGGGGGAGGGGCAGAAGGAGTGGGAGAAGCAGACAGCCCGCTGAGCAGGAAGCCCGATGCGGGGTCCCAGGACCCCGGGATCATGACCTGAGCCGAAGGCAGACGCCTAACGACTGAGCCACCCAGGCGCCCCCAACATTACAATATTATTGAATATTCCCTAGGCTGTACTTTTCACCCCTGTGACTTACTTTATAACCGGAAGTTTGTACCTCTTAATCCCCTTCCCCTGTTTTGCCATTCCCTGCACACAATTTTGGTTTGGAACACCTATTTTAATTTTTTTAAAGTAATCTCTACACCCAACCTGGGGCTCAAACTCACAACCCCAAGATCAAGAGTCGCACACTCCTCCTTCCTTACTCCAATTTCACATTTTTCTTTTTATTCGAACCCACGCATGTGTGTTGAATTGTCCACAATGCTACCAGCTGGGGAAATTCGGGATCCCTCCCTCCCACCCACCCCCATCATAACCCTTGGCAACCAAGAGTCTATCCTGCATTTCTAAAAAGCTGTCATTTCAAAAAGGTGTCACGGGGCGCCTGGGTGGCTCAGTCGTTGGGCGTCTGCCTTCGGCTCAGGTCGTGATCCCGGGGTCCTGGGATTGAGCCCCGCATCAGGCTGCCCGCTCAGCGAAGGCCTGCTTCTCTTTCTCCCACTTCCCCTGCTGGTGTTCCCTCTCTCGCTGTGTCTCTCTCTGTCAAATAAATAAATAAAATAAAATCTTTAACAAATTTTTTAAAATGTTGTATCAGGAGAATCTTGCAGTATGTGTGATCTGTTGGCATTGGCCTGTTTTCATTCAGCATCCTCATCGGGATTTTAGAACTTCCTCGTTTGGGAAGGGGGCAGGGCGGACCGGCCTATAGCCACCCTCTCCTCCCCGCAGTTCCATATCGAGGTGACCCATGTGCCTCAGTGTCCTCATCTGTTAAGTGGGGAGAGGAGAGCCCCCGAGCCCAAGGCGAGCTGCACGAATTGGAGCACATGGGGAACCAGATGCCCGCATCAGGACCTGGACCCGGCAACGCTTTACGACGTCACACACGGTTGCCACGGCAGCAGCCAACCACGTCTTGCGCGGCCGTGCCGCCTGGCCCCGCCCCGCTTGCTGGTGATTGGAGGAGGCGTTGCATCACGCGCCCCCACAGGCCAATGGGGACGTGGTCCAGACAGGCCGGGCGCGGAGGATGCCAAGCTCCCCGCATCCTCCCGTTAACCGTGCTCTCCCCGAAAAAAGAAAAAAAGCTCCGGCCCGGCATGCACTGGCTGCCATTTCCTGAAGCTCCACCTTTTGCAAACACCCACAAAGGGGAAGCTAATGACTTTATTTCTTGAGGTGCACAGTTATCCTGTTTGAAGAAGATTCCAGAAACTCGCAGCGTGGGGGCAGCGTGGGCACCTCGCCCCCTCCTGAAGTTCTCACCCACAGAATAAGAGCTGGCCCAGGAGGTCACGCAATTACTACGTTGTGTGGGCGGGTTATTTGCTGCGCCGGCGCGGCTGGCGGAACACAGGTGGGGGCGGGTGCTCTAGGTGGGCACTGCCCAAGCGGGCAGGTACACACGCTGAGGGCGCTCGGTCGTTTTTCCCCAGAAACAGCCGTCTGTGCAGAAATGGGGCGGGTCCTCTGCATGTTTGGCAAGTGTACCAGTTAGCTGTTGCTGGGTGGTAACAAATCAGCCCCAAAGAAAGTGACTCCATGCAGCAATACACACTTGTCTTTTTCCTTCATCGTTTCTGCAGGTTAGGAACTCAGAAGCGGTTTGGCTGCCTGGTTCCGGCTCGGGGTCTCATGAGGTTCCGGTCAACACATGGGCCAGCTGGGGCTGCCAGGTCTGAAGGCTCGGCTGGGGCTGGAGGACCCACTGGCAGGCTGTCCACAGGGGCTATTGGCAGAAGGCTCGCCCCGTGGGCCCCTGCCCAGCACTGCCTGGGCATCCGCAGGGCACAGCAGTGCAATCCACCCCCCAGCCTGCGACCCCAGAGACCGCCAAGCAGAAACCTACAGCTTTTATGGTAGAGCCTCTGAAGCCACAGACTGTCACTGTTGACATCCTATTGGTTACCGGGGCCAGCGCTAGTCCCTGTAGACGGTCTACACAAGGGTGTGACTACCAGGACACTGGGACTGTGGGGGCCATCTCGGAGGCTGCCCACAGAAGACCATCTGTTGGGAGGAAATGCACCAGGGCAAAGCAGTATGACCACGGGATGTCATCATCCCTTTCCCCCTCTCCTGGACTCCCCTCTCTCCTTCGAGGTGACTCGGCTGGCAGGGAGAGGTCATGTAGCTCAGGCCTGGCCAACAGGCCTCAACCTGGGACTTTTGCCAGGACCACCTTGTCACCATGCCGCAAGAGCCTGCTAATGAGTGAAGTCCAAACTACAGATGGTAGCACAAGAGATGGAGAAAGAGAAAAAGAGAGGGGCAGACGGAGACCCTACCTTCGTCTGAGCCCCACATCCAGCCTTGCCTGCAACCGTCTCTTCTGACCATTTCAGCATTAGGAGCCCATCCTTCATGTTGCTCCTAACAGTTAGGAGGGGTTTCTGTCCTTTGTAACACGATGCTATCAACAGATGAAGGGCACAGTCACAACGCGTCCACCACGCATGGACACGTCCCTCCGCCACGAGCAGGAGCGAGGCACCCACACCCGCAGCCCCCGGGGACGGACCCCGAGCCCACGACGCTCAGGGAGGGAACCGGACACGGAAGGCCACGTGGGGTGTGAGGCCACGTGGGTGACACGTCCAGAACAGGCTCATCCGCAGACGGGAAGGGGGCCCGTGGGGGCCGGGGGCTGGGGGAGGGTTGGGGTGATGGCTGATGGGGGTGGAGTTTCCTTTGGGCTGAGGGAATGTTCTGGAACTCGATAGAGGTGAAGGTTGCACAACATTGTGAATACACTCAATGTCACTGAGTTGTGCACATTAAAATGGCTAATTGCATGATACGTGAACTTCCATCAATAACAATAATGATAACAATAAAAGGACAAAAAGACCAGGATGTATGTGCCCAGTGTTTGCTCTCTCCCTCTGCCGGCTCCTCTCTCACCCACACTCCCTTCCTCCCAGATTCTCCAAGGGCTCTCCTAGTTCCTGCCCCTCTTTTACACAAAACAATTTCTCTTCCCACATCAGGCCACACCAAGGCATGTGACCTCCCTGACCCATCCACCGGCTCCCTCTGTCTCCTCCCCAGGCCCTGACCGGCAGCTCCCCTTCACCCCGTCCTTGCACCAGACCTTTATACCCAGGTGCAGAAATGCCTCCAGGCCTGTGGTTGCAGGGGGGAACAGCAAGGTCACACTGATGGCTGCCTCCCTTTCTAGGGGGACATAAGTGTGCGTAAACAGAAAGAACCAGGTGAGTGGCTCCGTCCATGTGCAGTTTGTCACAAATAGGTGGCATCCATGCTTTACTTTTGGAATTGATAGTCGGTGAAAAGGAAAAGCCCTGTTTGGAGGGCGTCCAAGGCCCGGGTTCTGGTTCTGGCCCCAGGCAGTTACATCCGACTGGGAGCTCCCCCCACCCCCGCCCTGAAGGCAGGTGCACCCGCAGGACATGGGGTCCTCAGCAGGGCTGTGAAGGATCCCGCGTGGTGCCGCCGCTCTGTCTGAGAGGCACCCCCACCCCCCCGTGGCCTCTCTCCCGATGGACACGGTGTGGGCCCCAGCCAAGGGACAATGACAGGGACAATTATGGGCTCACGCTCTGTGTGAGGTGCTGTGTGGGCACCGGACTCTCCGCTTCTCCCAAAACTGTCACTTTGCATCTTTATTGCTTTTTTGCCTGATTACAAAGGAAACGTGCTTTTAGAAATGCAGCATTAGGGGGACGCCTGGGTGGCTCAGTCGGTTAAGCGGCTGCCTTCAGCTCAGGTCATGATCCCGGGGTCCTGGGATCGAGTCCCGCATCGGGCTCCCTGCTCTGCGGGGAGCCTGCTTCTCCCTCTGCCTGCCTCTCCCCCTGCTTGTGTTCTGTCTCTCTGACAAATAAATAAATAATCTTTAAAAAAAAAAAATGCAGTGTTAGGCCTGTAAATACTTCAGTTTCTCTCTCTGAAGCAGGGTCTCTCCCCAGCCCTGCGGACATCGGGGTGTCCCGGGTGCTGGGGGGCGCTGAGCAGCCTCCCTGGCCCCCACCCACTCGGTGCAAGCAGTGCCCCCAGTGTGACAATCATAGTCGCCCCGAGTCATCGCCGGGGGTCCCTGGGGGGCAGCACCGCCCCCCGCTGGGAAGGACTGTCTAAGGATGAGCACCTTTTAAAAACAAAACTATAACAATGTTACACATTAAAAAATTCTCAACATCCATAAATGTCCATTGTGCATGTTTCTCTGAGTACCTCTCATACACATTCAGACCTCTGTTTGGGGGGCAGGTGGAGAAGTCTGTAACTTGCCGAGTCAACTCCTCCCTCAGGAACCTGACCTGGAGGATTTAGAACCCCGTCTCCTGGCTTCCCCAACCCCACAGGTCTCGAATCTCTGCTGTCCCTGAGCTCTGTTTGCTAGCTGGCCAGTTCCTTCCTGGCCTTGGGTCTTTCTGAGAATACCTTGCACAGAAGCCCCAGTTCTTGATCAGCCCGGGCCTGCCAGAGCATGGTCGCCCTGTGGACCACGGTCACCAACTTCCCAGCCCGGACACCCACTTTCTTGCTGCTCGGCCATCGAGCAAACGTCACACGCTTCAGCACTCTGGTCGCAGCACGACCCCACGCTGGTATGAATTCTTGTGTTGGCGGAGATCTGGCCCATCTGTGTCTGTCACAAAGGGCAGTGGGCTCAGAGCCTGCCGGTCTAAGTGTCCCCTCACCAATGCATCTCAGACTCCACCAGAGAGGCAGACAGCCGGCTAGATGGTCAACTTCTCTTTAATGAAAAAAAGAACAAAGCCAAACAAAAATCTGGGTTGCACAGTCATGACCCGAGGGAAGGACCACCACCTCCCATGCTCCCCTGAGCCGTCCCCAGGGACACCCTTCTGGGGAGACAAGAGACCCGGAACTGGAGCTGGGGGCCTGGTCCCCTTGCAGGGGACTCTAGATGCTCTGCAGCATGTGGAGAGCGTGGACAAGGTGCAGCCGGGCAGCGGGGGAGCAGCCAGGACTCTGCAGGGTGCCCGGGGGGTAGGAGGTGCTGGGCTGGCCGCGTTCCCAGACCGTGAGCCGCAACTCCTCACCCTGGCCACTCAGCACCAGGTGAGTCTGGTCGTCACTGCAGCTGATCTGCCGGGGGGTGAGGAGCCGGGGTCAGGGAGAGGGGGCCCCCCCCTGCCCACCCCCACCGCAGCGCTCCAGGGAGTAGGACAAGTGGACCGAGGCTGACAGCCCCCTGACCTGGGTCTCAGCGCTGCCGCACCCCCAGGAGCTCAGGGAGCAGGGGCCGAGGGCTCTACTGTACCGATGGGGAAACAGGGCTCAGACGGGGACTCCCCTTCCCAGGGCCACCCCGTGAGACCCCCACCCCGAATCCTGTGACCTGGGTAAACCAGCTTCCCCAGCGGATGTCCTCTCTAGCTGAGACCCAGCTCGGGGCAAGCGTGCTAGCCACGTTCTAGTCTGAACAGAGAGGGAGGTTTTACTGTAACACAAAATAGTAATTTTTTAAACTAACAACAGAAGCATTGTACAGGACAGCTTCTGAAGTCTGTTTCAGGACTGGCTGCGATTTGTCAGCAATTGCCAGGACTGCTCAGGGAAGCCTCAATCTAGAAATGATTTTCCACTGAAATGACATTTGGGCGGCTACGAGGTGACACCCCATGAGGATGGCCCGAAATTACATTTTGCCAGTGCCGTTTTGTACTTAGGAGTCAACACCCCACCCCCACCGAAGCCAGCTGTTCCTGGCCCCCCCCCACAGCGGGTGCTCCCAGCGTGCCCCCCGAGGACGAGGGCGCCCCGAGCGCTCACCTGCACCGTCCCGTCACTGAAGAGCAGGAGCGAAGCCCGCGCGGACGCCAGGACACGCAGCAGGCAGAGACTGGGGGCCGCCGGCGGGGTGAGCATGGGCCGGGCCCCCTCCTGTACACAGACCCAGCCCCGCGGGTCTCAGGGCTGGGGGCGTCCGCACCTGCCCAGCCCGGCCCGGCCCCACCTGGCCCTTACCTCTCGCAGCCGCTGCTGAATACAGCGGGCGAAGAGCCGGAGGACGGCCAGCTTGGCGCCCAGTGTGCTGGGCATGTCCCTTGGGGTGAAGGTTTCCAGCTTCCCCCGGGCAGGCATGTAGGACACTTGGCTGGGGGTGCGGTACAGGGTGGTGCCCGCTGTCACAGCCTCTATCCTGGGCACTCGATGCCCGAGGACACCGTCCCGCCGGCCACGCCCCCTCGGATGGGAGTTTGGAGACCAGCTCCGCACTGACCCACCTCTCTCCGTACCGCCAGCCCCCTGGAGCTGTGTCCATACTGAGATCCCGGCCAGCCCCCAAACCGCTCCCTCTGCCACCTTCCCATCTGGCCTAGCGGCTACTCCGACCTTCCTGCCGGCAACGGGAGTCCAGGTGCCAGCGTCCTGGCGTCCCTCCGAGACCACCACCCCAGGCCACGGCCACTCCCTGCCCAACTAGTCCAACCACCTCCCTGCTGGCTCCCTGGGCCTCTCCTGCCAGCCAGGTCACGTTGAACGTGTGCCTCGGACCCACCCTTCCCGTCCCGACCACCACAGTGGCCGTCAAGGCCGGTGACTTCACGTCCTCCACGTGTCCTCATGCCACTCCGTTCCTCACACCCACCGGGCTGCGTCCCACGCCAGGAGGCTTTGCACATGCTGTTGCCTGTGCCTCAGACGCTGTTCCTGCTGGGCTCCTTCTCATCCTTTGTGTCTTGCCTGAATGTCACTTCTTCAGAAGCCCCTCCACAACCCTAACCCTCCGCCCCCCGAGTCGGTCACCTCAAACACTTCATTTCTTCAGAAAATTGCCTCCTGGAATCACCTTGGTTACTTGTGTAGCATTGTCCCCCCTCCAGCAGGCAGGGAGTCCCCCTGGGCGCGCACAGTAGGCGCTATTTTAATAAACACTTGAGGAATGATTGAAGAAAGATGGGGTGGACAGGAGCCCCACGACTTACTCCCCCGGGGGGCGCAGGGCCATGTGCGTGCCGTCCCGAAGCAGAACACCGCTGCCCCCATCTGACAGCTGATAGCCGAAGCCGTACTTGCTGGAGTAATCCACCCACTTGGGGGCCCAGAGGATGGGCCGCTGCTCTCCGGGGGGGTCCTGTGTGGCTGGGCACAAAAATGAAGTGAATTGAGCAAGGCGGGGTGGGGGCTGGGGGAGGAACGGTGGAGACACAGAAGATGCAGAGCAAAGTCCAGGGGGCAGAAAACCAAGTCTTGCCTTGCGGGGGGGAGGGACGACGAGGGGCTGGGGGGCACCTGCCACCTCTTGAGAGGAGCCCTTCTGAACCGTGTGTAACGCCCAAACTCTACAGGCTTTGCTGGATTGCATTAAGAAAAAGTGTGTGTTAAAAACAAATCGATCGGGGCGCCTGGGTGGCTCAGTTGGTTAAGCGACTGCCTTCGGCTCAGGTCATGATCCTGGAGTCCCGGGATCGAGCCCCGCACTGGGCTCCCTGCTCGGCAGGGAGTCTGCTTCTCCCTCTGACCCTCCTCCCTCTCATGCTCTCTGTCTCTCATTCTCTCTCTCTCAAATAAATAAATAAAATCTTTAAAAAAAAAATCGATCAATGGCCTCTGGAATCCTGGATCGGACCCTGGCAGAGATAAAAGGGCATTAGTGAGGAAACGGGTTCTCCAGTGGCCGGGGGAAGCTGGGGGAGTGGCAGGCAGAACTCTCCGGGCTGCCTCCCCTGTAAATCTCAAAGTATCTTTCACTGTTTCTTTAGGACATCTGAGTAAGTAAGAGTTGGCTCCAGCTGACGGAAGAATCTTAACGTCCAGGGTCCTTCTGTGCAACAGGAGCAGAAGAATAAGAAGAACCCCACTGGGTCTTTTGAGAAAGAAAAGGCTCCCAGGACAGTGACCCAGGAGGGACAGGACATGGGGGGCTGGGGGTTCCAGGACCCCAGGGTGCAGGATGGGCGTCCCTGTGCCCTGAAGCCTCCCTCAGCTCTGCCCCCCAGGGGAGCCCCAGAAATACCCGGGGGGGCCCTGGGCAGAGCAGGACACTTTTCCTGGGGTGTTAAGGGACAGGTGGCCCCTGTGGGCCTGGCTGGGTTCCTACCTGGGAGGCCAGCATCCAGGCAGAGCTGCAGGTTTCTGATGGCCACCTCGACCTCCTGCCTCTGGCCCCCCGGGGGCCCTGGGGAGACAGATCTATGTAGGGGCAGGCCTGTCTGTCCCCGCCACCACGAGGGGCTCCTCCTACCAGCCCTGGCCCAAACGACCGAGTCTGGAAACATCTTATTTTAAACCCAGAAGGATTCCGGCCATCTTTCCCATTTCACAGGTGGGAAAGTTGAAGCCGGGAGAGGGGCCACGACCCTGGCAAGGCCCACTCGTTGCCCCCACCTCCATACCCTCACTCCCCACCAGCAGCCGGGGCCGAAGATGGAGTATCCGCTCACCCGCCGGGTCACTCCTGAGGGTCCCTTGGGTGAGCAGGTGGACGGGGACCTCGGGGTGGGGAGCCCCTCTGTCCAACAAGGAGGCCTGGGGAAGAAGCAGCAGGGGTAAGGGGAGGGAGGCCCTGGCCCCCAGGAGAGGCCTGAGGTGGGTGGGGGGCTCCATCCTCTTCCCTCTGAAGACCACGCCCCCGACTTTTCCCTCTGCCGGGTCTTGCTGTGAGAACGCATTCCGCGTGCCTCCGCGAGTCCCTGCCCGGAGCCCTCACCTCACGGCCGCGCTCCATGGAGTCAGGATCTGAAGCCTCTTCTCCTGGACCCGACGCCTCGCTGGGAGTGAAGGGGCCTGAGGGAAGCACAAGGAGTTTCGGGGCAGAGCCTGGCCCCATGCAGCGGGAAGGCATCTGCCCCCCAGGCCCACCCCTGCCACAGGTGGGAAGCAGGACAGGTGTGCGAGATGCGAGCCGGCCAGGCAGGTGGGGCAGGGGAGGGGTGGGCAGGTGCACTAACTACTCACATGGCGGCCGGCCCTGGGTCCGCAGCAGCCGGCCCACCTTCCGGAAGAGCCTGCCCAGAGGCTGGGGCATGGTGAAGATGGGTGCGCTGTAGCAAGAGCGGGCCGGCAGCCGGTCTGGAGTGAAACCCTTCGGAGCGGGGCACTGGGGGTCAGCACGCGGCGCGGGCCGCCCGGCTCCTGGGCCTCGGCCCCCCAGGGCGGGCCCCAGCCGTGGAACAGCACGCACCTGTGTGAAGAAGTCATCCTGCAGCAGGAGGTCCAGGCTGGGCCGCTCCGCCGGGTTGGGCGCCAGCAGGCGGGCGATGAGGCGGCGCGCGTTGGGTGACAGGTGGGTTGGCTCGGGGTAGTGGCCGTCCCGGATGTTCTGGTACATCTCCGACAGGGGAGCCACCACGAAGGGAGGGGTACCGGTCAGCACTGTGTACCTGACCCGGGGGGTGGGGGCGGCAGGAACCTGAGTGTCTGCTTGCACCTGTCCCTGCATGTACCTCGTAACTATATATACCCAGGTCCGCCTGCGTATCTACCACCTGCACATACCTGTCCACACCTCTGTGCGTGCTCAAACCTGTCTTCCCTCGCACGTACATCCCCCATGTGCCCTATTCATACCTGCACACTCGCGTGATGGCAGGCGGGTGCTCCCCACCTGCCCCACACCCGCACACACCTGTCCACATCGGTCCTAGGCATGCTCACACCTGCCTGTCCCCCGTTCGGCCTCCCCTCTGTAGGCTTCCACCTGTCCTTACCTGGCCCCACCCGGGCCCTCCTGCCCCTCTTCCCCAGGCCCGGGGCTCCCCACGACCCACTCACATGATGCAGCCAAGAGCCCAGATGTCTGACTGGCAGGAGTGCCCATTCCTGGAGATGACCTCTGGCGCCAGAAAGTTTGGGGTCCCACAGAGCACTCTGGGAGGGGATAATGGCGGGCTCAGGAAGGCCGGGGCCCACATGCCAAACTGGTCCCACTTGTGCCTCCCCAGAGGCACTGTTCAGAGCCCCTCACTTACTTGTGGCAGTGGCCCCCTGGCCCCACCCTGGCGGCCAGCCCCAGGTCTCCAATCTTTACCACCATGTTCCTGTTCAGGAAGAAGTTACCTGCCAGAGGGGGCGGGCCGAGGCTATGAGGGCAGAAGCCACACACCTCCCGCCCCTCCCCCCGCCCCCCCCCCCCCCACTGCCCTCCACGCTCACTGGGTTTCAGGTCGCGGTGCACGATCCGCCGCTGGTGCAGGTAGCGCAGGCCGCTGACCAGGCCCCGCAGGTAATAGCGCACCTCAGGCTCCGTCAGAGTCTGCCGCGCCTCCAGGACGTGGGCCAGTGACTGCAGGTGCGCACAGGTGGCCGCGGCAGCACCGAACACGCAGACGGACACAGGTAAGCCCGGATGAACCCAAAGAGGAATACAGGAGTGCAGATGGGCCCAGATGGCCCCAGGGAAGTTTGAAAAGGGCCAGGGGGTCAGAGATGAACCCAACGCGGGTGCATGCAGCGCGGTGTGCTCAGGAGGGCTAAGGCGGGCTTGATGGGGTTAAGGTGGCCCCACATGGCCACAGATGGAGATGAGATGGGCCGGATGAATAAACTGGGCACAAGTAGACACAAATGAGTCGGGAGAGCCAAGGCGGGCACAGGTGCGTAAGGATGAGCACAGATGGGCCTGGTGCGGACACAGGCGGAGACACAGAGGTGGACATGGATGAGCACAGCAGACCGACGGGGGGGGGGGGGTCCCTCTCCGCCCAGCCCCCGGGGCACCTGGCGGCTGCAGTACTCCAGCACCATGTACACGTGCTCCCGGTCAGCAAAGTGTCCGTGCAGCGCGACGATGTTGCGGTGTTCCAGGCAGCTGTGCAGCGCGATCTCGCGCTCCACCTGCAGGCGTGGCCCCACATGTCCAGGCCCCGTGGTGCTCAGGCCCAGGGGCGTAACCCCACCCCCCAGGGTAGGGCTCTCTCTGGGGACCCCCTGCGAAGTGTGGGGCCCCCGGGGCACGGAAGGTCTGGACCTACCTTACGGCGGGAGCGCAGGCGCGCGGCCCCGCCCCCGGCACGAGGCACCACCTTGAGGGCGAACACGGCGCTCGTGGACATGTCCACCAGCTTGTAGCAGCGGCTGAAGGCACCCTGCGGTGGAGGGGGACGCACCCGCTCAGCGGCTACGTGGGCGCAGGTGTGCAGACGGGTAGCCAGGCCCCTTCATATCACATACACACACAGGCGCAGGAGATGCATGGACACGCAGCTCACACCCTCACACCCGCAGACGCACCCACAGGAACACGGAGGAACACGCAGGGACGCGCACACAGACGTAGCCACCTCTGGATACATCCAGCCACCGGACCACAGTACAGTAAGTACGTGAACACACGACACAATTCCACACCCAGACACGGAAAGCGCACACAGAGATGGAGAGCACGTTCAGACACGGACCTGGAGACAGCACGACAGTTTCTACAAAGACCCGATACCTGCAACACGTCCGCACCCCTGGACGCACAACCCATGGGCACAGCACAAGGCGCCCAAGCCCGGCTCCCGGCGCACAAAGCACACCGGCGACGGGTACAGCACAGACCCGGGCGCCCAACCCAGCCAGCCCACACCAGACCCCAAACTCGCGCCGACAGACGGCGCACGCCGAAGTCAAGCCTGGGGGCGCCCACCTGCTCGCCGGGGCTCGAGATGGCGCACGCACACCCCGCCCCGCCCCGCCCGGACCCCGGCGCGGCCCGAGACCCTCCCGCGGACTCGCGGAGCCGGGGTCCGCACCGTGCCGATCAGCTTCCCGCGCCTGTAGACGCGCCCGGAGCTCGGATCGCGCAGGAAGGCGGAGACCGGCGGGCACCAAGTGCGCCGCCGCCGCGGCCCGGGTTCCATCCCGCCGGGGGCCTGGCGGGCGCTCTGCGCGGGCACCGGCGCAGCCTCCGCGGGACCACCTCTGGGGGCTGCGCGGCGCTGGGGCGCCTCTTATAGGCCGAGGGGGAGGGGAGGGGAAGGGAGGGGCGGAGCCCGACGCTGGGGCCGTGGCCAGGCGCCGGAGTGGGCAGGTGCGCTCCGAGGGAGGGCGGCGGGCGTGGGCGTGTGGGGACACCCGACTGGCAGGAGTTCCAGTGACAGCCGAGCCCGCTTCCCGCGCGCCAGTCCTGCGCCAAGCCGGCGCTTCCAATCCCGCTCCTCCCGCCCAGCCGTGAAGTGTCAACGTGCCCATTTCCCCGAGCAGGAAACAGAGGTCAGAAAGATTGTCTCATTCTTAGAGGCCTCCGAGGGAGAGGCGAGTGGGAGTGGGGGCCTGACAGGGTTCTCGTGGCACTGGGGAGCCGTGGCGGGATCCAGAGGGCAGTGAAAGAAGCCCGGTATCTCTCGGGCTGGGGCTGCTTGGGAAGGGAGTGAGTCCTGGCGCCGGGACCCAGGAGGGGCAGAGCTGGGGGTTGGGGGTATCATATATGCAGGTCACTAGGCAGCGAGAAGGAGCAGAATCTGGGGACCGAAGGGCAAAGGCGGGTGTGTGACTCCTGGCCTGGGCAGCCAAGGAGAGGTGGTGGATGAAAGGACTGGTGGGCAGTCGTGGACCCTCCTAGGAGCCATAGCTCAGATTCACTTCCAGGCTCCTTCCTTGTGTTCTCTCATGTCACCCTGACATCAGTCCTGGGACACAGGAACTGGCCTCGTCCCCATTGTACAGATGAGCACACTGAGGCCCGGGGAAGCTGTGGCTTCCAAAGCCAGGAAGGTCAGTGCTGGATTTGAATGCAGGCAGCTTTCTCTGGATGCCACAGTATTAATCCCCAAATGTTACATAACACGAGGAATGGGGAGGGATTAGCAGGGCTCCCTGTGGCTGGAATCAGGCCTTGGAATTTTCCAGAGACCAGATTTCGGAATCTGGCCCTGTCATGCTGCCAGGGACGGGAAACACCTTCTGAATGGTCACATGTCCAGCTGGTGTGTCAAGCAGGGGCACGCAGGGCATGGGGGCCTCTCAGCGTGCCCCAGGGCAGGGCCCAGAGCAAGACTCCGGGACCTTTGTGGGGGACTGGCCTCAGCACCCGGGCCAAGGACTGCAGGCCACCGTTGGGGGCCAGCTGGCTGCAGCTGGGGAGCCCAAGTTCCCGCTAATGGGAACCAGGAGCAGCGTGACAGAAGGTGGGTGGCTGGGGGGCCATGGGTCTGGGCCATCATGTCACTGTCACCCCGGGCTCTGCTGGCTCTCAGTCACACCCCTCCTCTGCGTGTTAACTCAGGCATCCATTTAGCTCCTACATATCAGCATGTGGAGCCTGCACGGGGCCCTGCACGCCCAGGACAGATACACTTGGCCCTCATGGAATGACTGCTAGGAGATCACCCGACTGAACCACGGCCGTGGGTCAGGACGGCCTCCACAGGCGAACGTGTATAAGCCAGGCCCCTGGCGGGCAGCTGCTAATCCTTGGGCGCTGTTCTCAGCCCCATTTTACAGATGAGAAAACCAAGACTCAGGAAGGCAAATGCAAGCCCAAGATCGCTGGACTGCAAGTGGCCGAGGCCCACCTGGAGTCTAGAGCCGCTCTCCGCACCCCCATACCATCCCCCTGGGCTTCTGCCCCAGGGGCCCTGGGAGCTCTGGCAGGGGCAGGTGGCCGAGCTCACTGAACCCCTCTAAGATCCTGGCCGGGAGCCTCACAGCCCACCTGTCACCTGCACAGATACCTGCTCTGCCCCCTCTCCCAGCTGCCCATTGTGTTTTCCCGGCTGAGCCTCTACCACAGGGCCGGGGACACCTCCCGTTCTCTGCCTGCCCCCTCAGCAAGGACCCTCTGCCCAACCACTCTAGAATGAAAAAAACATTACAATGAAACAAAAAACACAGATGTCTGTAGCAGCATAATTCACAACAGCCAAAAAGCCAATGGACACACAGCAGGTGTCCACTGACATATAATGGATATGTCACACGATGCGGTCCGTCCCCACGCTGCAGTATGATCCAGCCTTAGACAGGAAGGGACCCTGACACCTGCCACAACGCGGAGGGACCCCAAGGACACTGGGCTCAGCGAGAGGAGCCAGACCCAGAAGGACACATCCCGCAGGACCCCACTCCCAGGAGGTCCCCAGAGGAGTCCCGTCCACAGAGACAGAGAGGAGAGGGTGGGAGCCAGGGCTGGGGCAGGGGGTGGGGAGTCCGTGCTTCGTGGGGACAGAGTCTCCGTGTGGGGAGATGGAACATTCTGGAGACGGAGGGTGGGGGTGGGGAGTCCGTGCTTCACGGGGACAGAGTCTCCGTGTGGGGAGATGGAACGTTCTGGAGACGGAGGGTGGGGGTGGGGAGTCCGTGCTTCACGGGGACAGAGTCTCCGTGTGGGGAGATGGAACGTTCTGGAGACAGAGGGTGGGGGTGGGGAGTCCGTGCTTCACGGGGACAGAGTCTCCGTGTGGGGAGATGGAACGTTCTGGAGACGGAGGGTGGGGGCGGTCGCAGGACCGTGTGAGGGTGCTTCATGCCGCTGAGCTGTGCACTTAGAGACGGTTACAACGGTGAGTTTCTGTTACGTTTGCCACAACAACAAGGAATGAAGACCGTGTTAGATCCCCCACCCTCCGCAAAAGAAATCACAGCGTTAGGAGTGCACTAATACCCACAAATTTATAGATGGGTAAACTGAGGCAGCGTGCCTGGCAAGCAAAGGACTGCAGCATTACAAAGGGGCTCAGCGGGCTCCCTGAGCCTCCCATGCCGACCCCTGCCCAGGTTCCAGAGGCGGGGCTGGTCTCTCGGGCCGGCACCTGGCCTGGCCACCCACCGCTCCCGCCCGGAGCCCCCGTGCTCCAGGCTATAGTCTGTTCCTTCCCTGACCTAACTCCCCAGACTCAGCACATTTCCTGGGAGAAATGCCGGGAAGCTTCGCTCCAAATACCTGCTGCAGGCAGAGGGGGCGGCTGCCGAGACAGCCCCCCGCGGTGAGACTCCTGGAGGCCTCCCTGGGGAGGTGTTAGCCCATGGGCATGTGGGTGGCACAGTCTGCCCCTTCCGGAAGGTGCCGGAGCTGGAGCATGAGGCTCTGGGTCCCTTTCTGGCCTCCTGGCCTTTGAAACGCCATAGACTCTCTCGTGCCTGGACTTGTGAGCAGTCACCCCACCTGGCAGCTCCCTGGGGACGGCCAGGAGCGGAGCGGCCACCACACTCTAGAAACCCCATGACTGTGGCCACGCGCTGTCTCCAGACTGGCCCAGCGGTGTGGGGGAGGCTAGACCCGGCTCCCCCCCCACCCCAGGACCAAACTCTGTCCTTGCCTCTCCCAGCCTCATGCGCCTCGCTGGCTCCTTCTAGAAGCCCTGCCCTCTCCTGTCCTCCCAGACCCTGCTCTGCAGGCTTTTTTCCCACCCTTCTTCCAAATCTCTTCAGTTATCCTTAGCGGCTCCTCTTCCTCCTCCCAGTGCCTGCAGCTTGGGTCTGAGGCCCCTGTCCCCGTCTTCACTCCCTCTTTTTTTTTTTTTTTTAAAGATTTTATTTATTTGACAGAGAGAGACACAGTGAGAGAGAGAACACAAGCAGGGGGAGTGGGAGAGGGAGAAGCAGGCTTCCCGCAGAGCAGGGAGCCCGATGTGGGGCTTGATCCCAGGACCCCGGGATCACGACCTGAGCCAAAGGCAGACGCTTAACGACTGAGCCACCCAGGCGCCCTTCACTCCCTCTTGATGACATGGGGCAGGCCAGCAGGACGCCAAAGTGGGAGGCTTGTCTCTCCTCCCATATCTCCATCTGGGCTCTGCCAAACACAGAGCCTGAAGCAAGGGTTTGGTGCAGAGCAGGTGTGAGTGCGTGGGGAGGATGGGGCATAGGGCAGGGTGGGCCCTGGTGACCCCTGTGGGTCCCCAAGGAACTGGGTACAACATTCCTCAGGACTGTCTACCCAAGAGGAAGATGAGGGAAGTGTCAACTGCCTGGCTAGATCAGGGGACACAGAGTGTTTGGGCCCTTGGAGGCTCACAGAACCAGGGGGGTGGCCGGGAGCTGGTTTCAGGGCCTGCTCTGGGACCCAGGGGCAGGAGGCTCAATCTCTTCCTATGAGCAAGAAGCCCTCCAGAACCAAATCATATTCCAACTAAGGCCTGCTGATTTGCCCCCCCATGGCCCTCCCACCCACCCACTCACTCACCCCACTCCAGCTGCCCTGGCCTCTCTGCTGGTCCAAGTTCCCATACCAAGCTCATCCCAACCTCAGGGCCTTTGCATATGTCCTTCTCTCTGCTCATGATGCTCCCCATCCCTGAGTCTCCTCCCAACGGCCCCTTCTCATCTTCGAGGGCCTAGGCAAGGGCCACCCTTGTCCAGGAGGCCACCTCCACCCCTCGATTCCCTTTGTGGTCCCTCACAACCTGAAATTATGTCATTTCCTTGCAGGTCTGCTGGTTTTCATCCCACCAGGCTGGGCGCGCCACATGCGGACACGGGCCTGTGTTTGTCCCTGCTGTCTACTCCATAGGTGCTGACCTGTTGGGTGGCCTCATGCAAGTTCAGACCCTCCCTGGGCTCCCCACAGCCTGCCCACAGAGGGGGCATCCTCAGGGTCCAGAGTGGGTGCTTCTCCTCTGGGGGGAGGAGGACACCTATCCTGGCATCCTCTCTCCAGCTGCATGCTGCTTCGACTCCTCTCCAGGGACATCGATTGACTCTGGCTGTGTGCACTGTGCTGTGTGAGCATCAGACCCGGCCAGATTTCCACATGAATAATCTCTATTTCATCTGTTTGGGTCTTTTTACCAATTATGAGAAAAGTAGCTCAATGTCACGGGAGATCGTGGATGAGATCCTGGAACAGAAAAGGGAAATTAGCTAAAAACACACACATGGTGAAATCCATATACAGTTTGGAGTTCGGTTAATAGTAATAGTAATTGCTAATATTATTAATTAGTAATAACAATATGCCAGTATCAGTTCCCGAGTGGTGACAAAATTATTTGTTTCCTGGGGTTATTGTAACAAATCACCACAAATTTGGTAGCTTAAAAAAAAATCACCATTTATCAACCTCACGTTGTGAAGTCAGAAGTCCTAAAACAAAGGTGTGGACAGGGCTGGTCCCCCAGGGCTCCCGGGAGACCCGGCTCCGGCCTCTTCCTGGTCCGCGGCAACCCCCATCCTCACCGCCAGCAGCGCGGGGTCTGCCCATCTCTGGGACTCCCACCCTCTGCCTCCCCCTCGTGAGGGCCTCGTGAGGACGCCGGGCCCCCGGGAACCCAGGGTCACCCCCTCCTCGGGGGCCCTAACAAGGTCCCCTCTGCTGCGTGAGGGGACACGTCCCAGGTCCCGGGATGAGGATCTGGACGTCTTGGGGGGGCAGCGGATTATACCACTGATGACAGAGGGTAGACAGAAACTCTCTAACATCTTTAAAACTTTCTGTAAATCAAAAATTACTCCAAAATAAAATTTTTCTTTAAAAAAATCTGAATTAGAAGGTCATTACAGAAATTCACAGAGAACCTACAAGGCAGTAACTTGGTCACCCATAGCCCTGCCCCAGGACCATCGTGGGCAACACGAGGGGTGTCCCTTTCCCCTTCCCGTCTGAATGTATGTAACATACATCTTTTCCTCTCTATAAATGGCACCATGTCATGCATAACTTTCTTGATGTTTCCACCTAACCGTGTACCTGAGATGACCTGCCATGTTCAGTGAGCCTCCCGAGCTCCCGCCCCTCTCTGCCTCCAAGCCGACCCCCTTGCTCCCTCCGCCCCCCACCAGCCGCACAGGCCCCCTGCCACGCCCGGTCCTCACCTGGGCCTCCAGCCACCTGGGCTTTGCCCGTGCTGTCCCTCTGTCCCCCTGCTGAGAACGCCCTCTCCCTCACACCCTCTCCTGCCCCGCTCCCCTCCTCCTCCAGGTCCTGCCCCCAGGGTCCCCAACCCAAGCAGTTCCCCCCAACACACTCCCTCCAAGAAGGAACTCAGGACACCCATTCAGATGTGGGGGAGAAGCCGTCCCAGGCCCTCCGGGTCCCGCTGCCCATCAGTATCCCTATTAAGTGGGAGTGAGGATTCATCTCTGGGCAGCTGCGGAAACCCAGGGTTCTGGGGCAGGGGTGGCAGGAGCCCTCCCCCCCCCCCCGCCCCGGTCCAGGCTCCTCTGGAGGCTGAAACATCCCGGGGACCACGTGGCCAGGCCTGAGGCATCACAGGACGCCACAGGGAGTTGGGGTTTGGGGGGGTAGGCAGAGGCCACGGGATCTGCTCATGGGCATTTCCTGAGCCCCAAGGCTGCAAGACCACAGAGGTGGCAGGAGCTCAGCTGACCCGCATCCACGGGGACTTGTAGTCCGCTTGGCCTGATCCCCCCTGGCCCTGCCTCAGGGACAGTCCAGGCTAGAGCTCAGGGTAGGGGATCGCACTGCCCCCCTGTCGGGGGTCTAAGCCAGGGCACAGGAGGGGTGGAGGGGCTGAGATGCCGCACACCTGCAGCCTAAACCTCATAAGCACCCCTCCACCTGCACGAGGTATTTCGAGCTGAGCGCTTGGCCTCCTTCTCAGGAATCTGCTGAGTCCAGCTGAGCTGTGGCCAGAGGACAGAGGACAGAGGCAGGACGCTGGGGCCCGAGGGCGCAGAGGTGGGGGCGCAGGGCCCAGGACACCCTATCTTCACCGCATCCCCATCTGCCACCACGCTCCATCCCCAAGGCGCTAGGCCCCCATGCAGGCCCCAGCACCTGCTGTGTCCCCTCCCTGCAGGACACAGCGCCTGCTGCATACCCTCCTGAGCACCTGAGTGACTCCTGTATACACAGCAGGACACAGTGCCTGCTGTATGCACTCCTGCAGGACAGAGTGCCTGCTGCATACCCTCCTGGCTGCTTGAGTGACTCCTGTATACACAGCAGGATCAGTGCCTGCTGTATGCACTCCTGGCCACTTGAGTGACTCCTGTATACACAGCAGGATCAGTGCCTGCTGTATGCACTCCTGGCCGCTTGAGTGATTCCTCTATACACAGCAGGATACAGTGCCTGCTGTATGCATTCCTGCAGGACAGAGTGCCTGCTGCATACCCTCCTGGCCGCTTGAGTGACTCCTGTATACACAGCAGGACACAGTGCCTGCTGTATGCACTCCTGGCCGCTTGAGTGACTCCTGTATACACAGCAGGACACAGTACTTGCTGTATGCACTCCTGCAGGACACAGTGCCTGCTGTATGCACTCCTGGCAGCCTGAGTGACTCCTGTATACACAGCAGGACACAGTGCCTGCTGTATGCACTCCTGGCTGCTTGAGTGACTCCTGTATACACAGCAGGACACAGTGCCTACTGCATGCACTCATGGCCGCTTGAGTGACTCCGGTATACACAGCAGGATCAGTGCCTGCTGTATGCACTCCTGGCCGCTTGAGTGACTCCGGTATACACAGCAGGATACAGTGCCTGCTGTATGCACTCCTGCAGGACAGAGTGCCTGCTGCATACCCTCCTGGCTGCTTGAGTGACTCCTGTATACACAGCAGGATCAGTGCCTGCTGTATGTACTCCTGGCAGCCTGAGTGACTCCTGTATACACAGCAGGATACAGTGCCTGCTGTATGCACTCCTGCAGGACAGAGTGCCTGCTGCATACCCTCCTGGCTGCTTGAGTGACTCCTGTATACACAGCAGGATCAGTGCCTGCTGTATGCACTCCTGGCCGCTTGAGTGACTCCTGTATACACAGCAGGACACAGTGCCTGCTGTATGCACTCCTGGCTGCTTGAGTGACTCCTGTATACACAGCAGGACACAGTGCCTGCTGTATGCACTCCTGGCCGCTTGAGTGACTCCGGTATACACAGCAGGATACAGTGCCTGCTGTATGCACTCCTGTGGGACAGAGTGCCTGCTGCATACCCTCCTGGCTGCTTGAGTGACTCCTGTATACACAGCAGTATCAGTGCCTGCTGTATGCACTCCTGGCCGCTTGAGTGGCTCCTGTATACACAGCAGGACACAGTGCCTGCTGTATGCACTCCTGGCCGCTTGAGTGACTCCGGTATACACAGCAGGATACAGTGCCTGCTGTATGCACTCCTGCAGGACAGAGTGCCTGCTGCATACCCTCCTGGCTGCTTGAGTGACTCCTGTATACACAGCAGGACACAGTGCCTGCTGTATGCATTCCTGGCCACTTGAGTGATTCCTCTATACACAGCAGGATCAGTGCCTGCTGTATGTACTCCTAGCAGCCTGAGTGACTCCTGTATACACAGCAGGACACAGGGCCTGCTGCATACCCTCCTGGCCGCTCGAGCGACTCCTGTATACACAGCAGGACACAGTGCCTGCTGTATGCACTCCCTGCATAGCTCTTTGGCCTGGGACTCAAGGAATGAGGCCCGTCTGAGGGAAGGAGACTGTCCACTTGGTGGAGCCCCTGAGCCAAGCCTGATTTATTCCTGACGCCCCTCAGGCCCCAGCCTACAGCTACCACACAGTAGGTGCTCAGCAGACGGTGCCTGCCCTTGCTGTCCCCACCGCCTCTCCTGCGACCCTTTCTCAGGCCCCGTCCAACCAGGATTAACCTCATCAAGGTCACTGACTGCCTCTGGCAATGCTGATTCCCCCCCCTCCTCCCTGAAGCCCAACATCCCTAGGCCTCTAGGACCCCACGCCCCCCTTCGCCTCCCCCATCCCAGGCCCCTGGTACGCAGGCCCTCGTCTCACTCCATCCATGCTCATGCCCCGTGATCTCACCCACGCCTCTAAACACCCCCATGTGTCAAGGACACCCACCTCTCTCCAGCCAGACAAAGCCCCTGCTCTCCCAGCCTCTTCTTGCTGGCCCACAGACGTCTCACCCCAGACCCGTCCAGGAGCGACCTGTGGACGTGTTCTCCCATGCCTGCCCCCCCACCCCAGCCAATGGGCACCTCCCTTCCAGCAGCTCAGGCCAAGCTCCCGCCTCACCTCTTCCCACCATCACCCCCCATGGAACTCCTACATGCTCTGCTCCCCAACAGCTGAGAGCCGCCCGAGGCTCCTCACCTCCACCCGAAATGCCAGCACGGGGGCTCTCCCCCCAGGACGCCGCTGCCTCCTCGCTGCCTTCTTGGCCCCCACGGCAGCCAGGTGTGGCTTTTCCAAGACTAGAACACCCTCCCCCACCTCCAGGGCTCCCATCCCACGACGCCCCTCTGACCTCACCTCCGCCCCCCACCCTGACCTCCCGACTGTCCCTTGTTCTCTTATTCTCACCTCCGGGGTTGTGCACAGGCTGTCTCCTCCACCCGCGCTGCCCTCCTCCTTGTGGCAATTGCCTCTTCAGTGAGGGCCTTGCTGACCCCCACCCCATCTGCAGTGGGCCTGGGCTATTGCCTCTGGGTGTCCCGATCGAAAGGTAGGACTCTGCACTCGCAGGGGGCTGCCTCCCTCAGCCTAGTTAGCTGGGTCATTCACAGCCGTACCTGCACATAGTAGGTGCTCAGTAAAGACTGCATGCATAGATGGCATCGAGTCGACCTGCTCTGAGCTTCTCCGGGCTGGAAGGCAGACAGAGCTGGACTGGTAACCGCCCTCCCCGTGGTCAGGGCTGGACACCCCACAGTGGGCTTCCAGGAGGAGGGGGCAATCAAGCTGAGCCTGGGCTTGCCTCTGACCAGAGGGGCAGTCCACTCATCATCCCCTTGGTGTCCCCATCTCCTCAACCCACCCGTCAGGGAACATCATGGGCAAGAGCAAGGAGCCAGGGGAGGGGGTGAGCAGAGGGCACCTACTGCTTGCTGCATGAGCAGGGGGAGGGGGCCGGCACAGAAGCCAAGCTGGGAAAGGGTGGGGTGGCGGGGAGCCCTGGGGTAACTCGGCCCTTGCCAGCCCTCAAAAAGAGCTGAGGTCCCCCCTCGGAAGTGTCTTGCATACCCTCCTGGCCGCTTGAGTGACTCCTGTATACACAGCAGGACACAGTGCCTGTGGGGAGTGAAGTGAAGAACCCCACGGACCCCACTGCCTGGATGGGAAAACTAAAATCCTAGGGAGGGGGCCGCTGCCGGCCGGGAAACGGGTCTTCTGGACCCGGGTCCGGCTCCAAAGCTGCAGCTCACAGCCGGCGGCCAGGCAGGGAGAGCGGAAGGCAGGGTGGGGCATGTCCTTTGGTGACAGCAGTGCCGGGAATGCTCCTGGCAGGGCTGGAAGGGGGCTCTCCGCCCCCACGCCTGGCCCCTGGAGCCGAGCTTCTCTCAGTGCGTTGGGGCCCTGCTCCGGGGTGGCCGGGACCTGGAGTGGGAACCCCAGGATTGCAACCCAGGCGAGCGGGGTTCCTCAGTAGGATGACCTTGAGGGAGGGTTAGGAGGGAGGATCAGGGGAGAGGGGGACTGACCGAGAAAGGGGACCCTCGCGGGGACGCGATCTGGGCGTCGGTGGAAAGGAGGCAGCGTCCCGGACTCCCGGAACCATGGCAGGGCCACCTCGGTTCTCGCACATTCCCTGGCCCTGAGCGCGGCGCCCGGAATAGCAGCCCCGGGGTGGGGGGTAGAGGCGGTCAGTTCCCGCACGGCTCCCCCGCCCTGGGCTTTCCAAGGTCACCGGGATATGTGCGCTGGAACACCAGGCCGCGGCTCCGGGGGACCGGGGCCCGCGCGGGGCAGTCCCCTGCCGTAGATACGCGCCGAGGCGCGCAACGGCCGCGCGAGGGCGCACGGGGCTGCGGCCCCTGCGGACCCCGGCCTGGGCGCGCCCCGGGAGGCCGGGTGGGAGGGGCTGCCCCTGGCTCCCCCTCGCCCCTCCCCGCGGGCCCCGCCGCTTCCGCTCGTCCTGGGGCCGCCCGGGGAGCCAGGACGTGCCGCCTGGGCTCTACGTAGCCGGTAAGTCCCTCTTCCTATCCTCCCACTATCCCGGCTGGCTTCTCCTCCCCGTCCCAGGGCCCGGTCCGGCTAGGGGCTGGCCAGGCAGCAGTCCCCAGGATGGGAGAAAGCTCTTCCCCACTTCCTCCTGGGGAAACTGAGGCCTAAGAGGCGTGGCTTGCCCTGGGATCACACCTGCAGTCAGGAGTGCAGCCAGAACGACGTGTGTCTTGCTCCTCTGGGACGGGTCTCTGGGGAGTAAAAGATGGTGCTTCTAGCCCCTCAGTTCCCACCACTTAGACTCCCTCCCCTCAAGCTAGTGCTGAGTGTGTGTGGTGGGAGAGGGGGCGTCAGAAGGCCAAGCCCTCTGCCCCTATCTCAGCTCTCCAACCAACTTCTTCCCAAGCTGGCCAGGGCTCTGGGTTCAGAGAGGGGCAGAGACACAGCTGGCTACAGAGCTCTGGGCAGAGAAGGGGACCTGCCCAGTGGCCCCCAAGGTTCTCAGCACCTGGAGCCACCAGGGCCCCCAGCCCCTGATGCCCCAGGTGGGAATGTCAGAGCCAGGGCCTGAGAACCAGGGAAACTGGGGCTCAAAAGGGCCCAGAGGGTCCACTGGTACAGGACCAGTGCCCAGGACCTCGGGGCTAGACACCTCCAGCTTGTCCTTCGCATCCTTCGGGCTCTGCTGACCACCAGGCAGCCTGGCCGTGGCCTGAGAAAGGACTCACCAGGTGGCCACTTCCCTCCCCCTTTCTCCAGCAATGCCATGGTGATGAGGAGGGTGTGGATGGCGAGTGACTTCATCCTTCCCCTGACAGATGGGGAGACTGAGGCCTGGGGAGGGAAAGTCTGCCCCACCCCAATCCACTCACCCCCGGATGCCTCCCTCTTTCCTGCATCATTCTCATCAGTGGCCCCTTTACCTCTGCAGGCCGCCCTCGGTGGGGCCCACATCCTCTGCACATGCGGTCAGGAGTCGGCGACTGGACTGGGGCCAGGTCACCCCCCCCTTGTTATCCCTCAATCCAGGGGCTCCCTGCTGCCTCGGGTCTGGAAGCTGAGGTGGTCCTGGAGGCCCAGGGGCAGGCAGAGGGCTTCCGCCAGGGACTCGGGCCCTGACTCAGCCCCCAGCAGCAGCACCTCTGCAAAGTCCCTCCTAGAGCCCTGGACTGAGTCCAGCTGGTCCCCATGGCACAGATGGGGAAACTGAGGCCCGGGAAAGTGGAGTGGCTGGCCCTCGGTCACACAGGAAGGTAGAAACAACAATGGTGGGGTGAGTGGTTATAGGGCCCCAACTCTGGAGACACCCATGCACTCTCCTGGAATGATTCCTTCCATAATCAGACACAGATTTAGCACCTACTGTGTACATTCTAAGACAACACACAGTCAATAATAATACCAGCAGATAATTCTTTGAGCTCTCCCTCTCCACTGCCAGGCTCTGTGCCACCTATCTTTCTTCCCTGATCCGATGGGCCCCTGAAATTTTCCTGTAACGGGGGCTCTGTTATTACCCCACTTTTCAGAGACAAGAACAGAGGCCCAGAGAGGTTAAATTACTGCCCCAAATCACACAGCCAATTGGGACAGAGCTGGGGTTCAGACCCTGGCCTGCTGGCACCCCCACTGCAGCGCCCTCCCTGCTCCCCCACACTCCGCCCCCTCCAGAACCTCCTTCTGCTGTGGACTCTCCTGAACTCTGGTTTAGGGGGCAGTGCTCAGGTAAGGGGGGACATGAGTCCAGGGAGCCAGTGGACTTAGGGAGCTGGCCAGTGGTCTGGGGGCCTCCGGGCTCCTCTCCATGCTGATGGTGCCTTTCTCTCCCCAAGTAGGGTCCAGGTGAGTGGACCCCATGGGGTTCCTGGAGCCGCTGTTCCAGCTCTTGTGGGCGAGGTCTCTCGGTGCGCAGCAGGCGCTGCTTCTGGTGAGCAGAAAGCTGGGGTTTGGCTGGGTGGGGTGGGGTGAGAGGGGGTGTCTGCCCCCCCTCTCCTGCCAGCCCGCCCCACTCCTGGCCGCACCCTCAGCCTGCCCACACATGCTGTGCCTTTTAATCCCACTGATCCAACTGGAATGTGGGTGGGGCTGACCAGGCCAAAGGTGGGGGGGGGGGCAGGCCAGCTCCAGAAAGAAGGTTACTGGGGGTCCTAGCCACGATCTGGCCATCTTGCTCCTTGTAGGTTTCCTGGGGGAGAGCCGTGCTGGGGAGACTCCCACGAGTACCGCCTCTGCCCTTTGCCGGTAAGTTCTGTCTACCTCCCAGACCCTTGGCTGGGCCTTGAAGACCTTCTGTTTCCCGGCTCACACCCCCAGATACCATTGCCACCCTCCCAGGTTCTCTGGGCTCCCCTGGGGCTCTCCCAGCCTCGGACCTATCTTTGTCCTCAGGACTGTCCCCTAGGGGCCATTCCCTTCCGAGATCTCCAGTGTGCCCTCTACAATGGCCACCCTGTCCTGGGCACCCAGAAGACTTACCAGTGGGTGCCTTTCTATGGTGGTGAGTAGCCTTCCCTCCTGTTGGTCCAGAAGAGGCAGGGAGAAGGGGTTGCTAAGAAAGCAAGAAGACTGGAGGACTGCAAGGAGAAGAGAACATTAGCACTGGGGCTTTGAAGGATATATAGGAGTTGAAATGATGGTGTGGGGGAGGGAGAGCAATGTGACCTGTGAAACAGGAGCAGAGGGAGGGGCAGGGTCTGTCCTGCTCAGGGTTGATCACCAGGCTGAAGATTTACTTGGAGCTGTATCCAGAGGCCAAGAGTTCTCAAACTTATCCCGGTAGCAGGAAATGTTGCCGCATTTAGCTGAAGGCAGCAAGTTACATAACTGTGTGCCCAGGGCAGCGCGCCTCCAGATTTAAAGGAAACAGGCAGCTTTAGACCCTAGAGTGGAAGCAGATACAGATATGGAGAACATTCCATCTGTCGACCTCATTGGGTATTTTTGAGGGAGAGGTTGGGGTTTTTTCCCCTAAGAATTAGAGGAGATTTGCCGTGATCCCACCCCCACAGAGGCCCAAGGCCAGTGTGCCAGGCTCAGGGGGGTGGGAGCCAGGAGGAGCAGGAATCAGGGCTATGTGGGCTTGTGCCTGCGATTGGACTTCCCATTCTGCCCCACTGCCAGGCAGAGGGGGAAACTGAGTCCTGGGGAGGGCCAGTGACACACCCAGGCTGTGCAGAATTCCGTCAGCACTGAACACTTTTTATTGGGCACATGCTGGGTGCAGGGCCCAAGTGCTGTGTGACCTCTGCCACCGCTGTACCCCAGAGCCTGGAACAGTGTTGGGAAAGTAGTGGGTGCTCTGTCAGTGTTTGCAGAACTAAAGAATGAATGAAGAATGCGTAAGGATGTTAGCAATGGATAACGTGTAGGGCCTCCCTAAGGTGAGAGCTTAACTTGAATGAATGAAAGCATGCGTGCATGCGTGTACGCAGGCCCAGGATACTTGCCTGGGACAGTCCCCAGGAGCTGGGGACAGAATGCTTAGGTTCCAGCCCTGGCTCTGCCTCAACCTCCATGTGTGGCTTTGGCTGAGTCTCCGGGCCTCATCTGCCTGAGGGGGAGGAGGCTGGAACTCCGACAGAGGTACTCCACTGGCCCCACAATTCCTCCCGCCCCCAGCGCCCAACCAGTGCGACCTCAACTGTCTGGCCGAGGGCCACGCCTTCTACCACAGCTTCGGCCGCGTCCTGGATGGCACCCCCTGCAGCCCGGAGACCCAGGGGCTCTGCGTGGCTGGCCGCTGCCTCGTAAGGCCTCGCGGGACCCCGCAAAGCCCCGTCCGTCTCACACCCGGGGCCGGGACCTCAGACCCCAACCCGTTCAGTCCCCGGTCCCACCCTCTTCCCTAAGCCCCGCCCCCACATGGACCATCCCCTCCCCACGTCCCGCCCACCGCTAGGTTCCACCGCAGCCTCTGCCCTCCAGAGCCCGCCCCTTTACTCGTGGGTCCCGCCCCCCAGGACGGTCCCGCCCCCAGGACGGTCCCGCCCCCCAGGACGGTCCGGGGCAGGGGGCTGTCGGTGAAGCCGCGCCTGTCCTCCTCGCCCCTGTAGAGCGCCGGCTGTGACGGTTTGCTGGGCTCGGACGCCCGCGAAGACCACTGCGGCCGCTGCGGCGGCACCAACGAGTCGTGCCTTTTGGTGCAGCGCGTGTTCCGAGACGCCGGTGACCGCCCTCTCCGTCCTCCCTGCTAACCCAGAGCGGGCCCTTTAACGAGCCTCGGGCCCGGAAGCGAAGTCGCGAGCTGATTGGGCAGTCTGTGGCCCAGCCCCCCCGCTCTTCATTCTGATTGGTTATTGCCAGGTGGCCCAGCCCTCCTAGGAACAGATGGGTTTCTAACTCTCCCTGCTGCACTTAATCGAGAATAATCCTCCTAACTCCAAAGTTAACCGATCGTTTGGGGGTTACCAGGACTCCTGGTATCTCTTACCGCAGTATCTCATTTAGTCCTCAAATCGTCCCTCAAATACCCTCCCACCTGCGCCCCAACACCCTCCTTTCCTCCCGTCCAGGTGCCTTCGCTGGGTACTGGAACGTGACCCTGATCCCTGAGGGCGCCAGACACATCCGTGTAGCCCACCGGAGCCGCAACCACCTGGGTATCGCGGGGTCCGAGGGGGGAGGCACCCTGCTGACCGCCTGGGAGCAGCCGGGGAGCCTGAGGCGGGGGGGAGGAGGACGCCAGGGTCGGGAGGCTGGACGGGCCGGTCCCGGAGCCCGGGCTGACCTTTCCCTTGCAGCGCTGATAGGGGGCGACGGACGCTACGTGCTCAACGGGAACTGGGCGGTCAGCCCACCCGGGACCTACGAGGCGGCGGGAACCCGTGTGGTCTACA